AAAAAAAATTTAAAAAAAATACACACCATGTACCTATATTTGCACTGCATTTATATCTATACCTAATTCTACAGCTACCTCTATATACATACATAATACACACATGTATGTATACATACATATGTATGTATGTGTGTTAAGGAGCTAAGAAATTTGCCAGTGTCACACAGGTGGTAAATGTCACATGTAGAATTCAAACCCAGGCACCCTGGCTCCTAATCATTCCTGGAACTGCTGCCAGCTGCAAACTCCGAGTTCCTTCTTAAGTGCAGGGTGGCTCAGGCATGAAGCTGCACCCAATCCCAACCTGCTGGATCTCCCCCAGGGGGAGGAGCCGGCAGGGTGAGGCCTGAGCCTGCAGTGGGAGGGACTGTGATAGCAGGAGGTAGGGCATGGCTAAACTGGTGGGAGCAGTGGGGGGTCCTGTCAGTTTCAAGATCCCCAGGCTGTGCCAGGTGATTCTCAGGACACCATGTAGAACTTCTTGAAGGCTCTCACGAGATGTAGATGACATAAAGGTAACCAGACCACCAGAAATCCGCTGTCCAGACTCCGCATGTTACCTACCTTGGGTCTCCTAGATGCAGGGTGTACTTTTATTTTTGCTTTTATCCTCTCTTTTGTCCTCTTATCCCTTCACCCCTCATCTTTCTTGTTTTTTGTTTGTTTTTAGTTTGGGTGTTTTTGGTTTTTTGAAACTGGGTCTCTCCATGTAGCCCAGGGTAGCCTCAAATTCAAGGCAATCCTCCTGCTTCAGCCCCCCGAGAGCTGGGATTACGTGGGTGGGCCCCTACACCCAGCAATCCCTCACCTTTGAAACAAACATTTGATGGCTGGGGATTTAGCTCAGCGGCATAGCGCCTGCCTGGCAAGCACAAGGTCACGAATTCAGTTCCTGGTACTGGAAAAAAAACAAAAAAATTTTAAAAATTAAAAAATAAAAAAATGAAACAAACACTTGGCACCAGTTTTGGCTTGTCTTGTCCAATTCTTTGTTCAAGACAAGAAGGACCTGGAATGCTTTATTTGGCAAATCATTTTTAAAGGAACTACCCCACAACAATTCCCCCCCCCTTGTACCACTTCCTCAACACCTCTCTCTTTGCCTTTTCACAAAGATCAATTAATCAGTTCAACCTCAGAGTATTGATTTATCCCCAGCCTCATTCCTTGGGAGGGCCTACGGCGGTAGATGCACAGATCTCTCTACCTTAAAGACAGCCGAACAGGATACCGGGCCTGAAGAATCCCTGTGCAGACACAGCCAATGCTGTCTCACAGGTGACATGGCCTGGCCTGATATGCAGACATAAATGAAACTTGAGTGATTTCTGGTAAGTGTCTGAATTAGAGCAGAACGGAGCTTAAACTCCACTAATCAGAAGCAGCCAATAAATTTGACAACTAGGAACTTTACAACAGGTTATAGCACAAATACAGTAACTGACTGTAGCCAGTCAGATGGGATTTGTTTGTTTGTTTGTTTGTTTTTCACCTGTTGGATGCTATAAAACCTTGTCCTTGCATCCCATTTCTGATTTGGAGCTGTATGATTTGCCAGCTGTCATCTATGCAAATAAACTCTGTAAACATTTATTCTACTTTGTCTTATTTTTTAACGTTACCGCAGAACTCCAATGATAACCCCCTGTTTGCTGCCTCAGCAGCTTCATAACTGACACCTTGCTAATGTGATGCTGTTAGATCATCACATACGGAGCAACCAACTGGTCCTGGCTTTCTTACAACTTTCCTAGCTTTACAAGTGAAAGTCCCTTGTTCTGGGAAACTCTTCAGAGACAGACAGCTGGGATGATTTGGTCATTCTCATTACACAGGCTGCAAGCCCTAAGGTCATTTTGCCAGCAACCTAGAGATTTGGCTTGGAACTTCCTATCAGCAAAGGCAAAAAGGGGTGCACCATACATAAAAGTTTTAGTGTCTGTAATAGCATTATCTTGTAGAAACTTCTATAGTGATGGAAATCTGTACTGTCCAATATAGTAGTTCCTAGCCACATGCCTCTACAGAACACCTAAAATGTGATGGTATATCAGAGGAACCAAATATTTCATTTGACTTCAATATATTTAAATTTAAATAGCCCCAACTGGTTCATGGCAACTGCATTGGACAGCACAACTGTATTAGATAAAAACAACAAGTTGCTTAGTCAGAAACTGTTAACATGGCTGGGTGTGGTGGCACATGCCTATAATCCCAGCACTCAGGAGGCTGAGGCAGGAGGATTGTTGTGAGTCCGAGGCCAGCCTGAACTGCATAGCAAGACCCTATCTCAAAAACACACACACAAAAAAAAAAAAAAGAAAGAAAGAAAGAAAGAAAAAGAAACTATTAATATCAAGGCCTGAATTTCTCCCAGGAGAAATTCACCATACTTGAGGTGAATATAAGAGTGTGTTTGCCTGGGCACTTGTCCTTTCTTATATATATGAAAGCAAGGACTTCTATAGCAGTGCCACATGTTAAATATCCTCAAGAACCCTTTTCACAGGTTTATGCACTCAGTTCTCGGAGGTACCCTAGAAGGTGCGCACTTTCAGTATCCGCAGGGAGAAGGCCCCTCCTGGCCCTGAGAGAAACCTGCTCCTTCCCTGGCCCCAAAGGAGGGCACATCTCCAGCCCTTCCTGGGAGCAGCTAGAGCTCAGGGAGCTGGCATGGGGTAGAAAAGAGCAGGGAGGAAGGAAGACGACAGGGGCTCCAGAGGCCCCTGCTGCCACCCCAAGGCTGACAGGGCCCCACTCCATGGAAAAAGTGAGTAATGTATGGCGTCAGCCCCTGGCACTAGAGGGCATCTGGGCCGTCAGAAGGAAGACTGTCTGCAAGGTCACAGAGTGTCCCTGTGCCCCTTAGACATGGAGCCCAGCCCCAGCCCAGATAATAGCCCCTTTCGTATCTGCTGTGGGTACCCCCTGACTTCCCGCCACGCCGGCCTGAGAGCCTGCATCTCTGCAGCCCACCAGGTCCCTCGGGCTCTTCCAAGCAGTAGAAGAGGAAGCAAATGTGATCCCCTACCCCACCGCCACCGCCACCCTCGTCTGTGACTGGGCAGCTGATGACTCCAGGGTCAGAAATATCCCCACAGTCAGCTCCTGCACGCCACCTTCCCCTCCCCTCCATTCCCAGAGAGTCTAGGCCCTGAGTCACAGGGAAGAGTCCAGAAGCAGACAAGGACCTAGATGACAGTGTGGAAATGGCGGTGCCCTCAGGAAAGAGCTGGGGCAGCCATTCAGAAGTTCTCCAAATCTCCTTCTCTCTGGAATGGAGAGAGAGGGCAGCCAGGGGCCAGAGAGCTGGGCCTCACTCTCAGAGGTGTCCTGGCTGGGAACAGAGTGGCCAGCCCCGCCCTGGGACCCCCGAGCTCCCAGCATGCTGATGTACAAATGGCATCCACATTCAGAAACCAGCCTAGCCTCGAGAATAAGGGGCTCACAGGATTAGGGGCAGGGCCATCCAGGGGCATGGCAAATGCTCTCCTTATTCATTCCCCAAAATAGCCTGGTCACCCCCGCTCCAGGCACAGCTGAGTCACTGACCCCAACTCTCGAGAAGATTTTGGATGAATGAAGTTCTGCTCTCCTTCCCAGCCCCTCCCCAGCCCAGAGGACATGACTGATGCCTCAGGATGGAAGAGAGACTTCCACAAGCCCTAAAAATAACAGAACCACTTAATGCTCTGAACATAGCCGCCCTGCCCACCCCCACACTGCCCCCCCCCAGCAAGATAAAGGCAGCTGCTGGGCTGGCAGAGCACAGACCCGGAGCCAGGGCAGTGAGAAGCTGCCTGACCAACTCCGAACGAGAAAGTCCAGCGGGACGATAGACCCCTGACTGTACCTGCTACAGACCCACTGGGCCCGGAGCACCCCACTGGGCCAGCGAGACGCTAGGTGAGTAACCTGCCCTACCTCCCATGGTGTGGTAGCTCTCAGTCCTGGGCCCTCTGGCCCTCCAGGATGGGCGTATCGGGTGGCACTGAGGGAAAAGGAGGCCAAGGGGCACATGGGCAAGGGGGTGGGGAGAGCTGGAGTCCATGAGGAAGGCTCGAGAGTTCTCATCACCCCGCAGGAGCTCTCAGAGCAGCGGCCACAGGCCTAGACCAGCCAAAAGTATGGGCTTTTCCCAGTCAGGATAATCCAGAAGGTTTTCAGGAGGTGCTGGAGATTCAATTTTTAAAATCCAGGTGTGAAGCACCTCAGGCTTTAAGACTTCCTCCCAGGGAAGCCCAGGGACTGGAGGGAAGAGGACAGAGAGGGCCGGGAGGAGTGGGGGTTGAAGACAGTAGTGGACCAGAGCACAGCCTAGGAAAGGCCCCTCGCCCAGCTGTTGTGGGCAGGTCTTGGCGTGTCCTGTCCAGGGATCACTGCCGGTGCTGCCCTGGGCCCAGCTCCCTGCTCATGGTGGCCTAGAACCTGGGCAGGATGACTGTGCCCCGGCCACCTCTTGCCCTGTGGGGAAGCCCTCAGGCCAGATCTGAGTCCCCGAGGTGAAGATAATGGAGGTGGCCAGGCTGAAGAAGAGCCCTGGATGAAGGCAGGCATCCTGAGAGGCCATGATCTGGTTCAGTCTGGTTCCAGTTCTGAATTCTGCCCTCACTCCAGCTCTGCCCCAGGCCTCCGACTAGGGGAGGGTGGAGGAGGAGGGCCAGAGTCAGGAAACCCACTGCAGGCTTTGCTCTCGCCTTGCTGGGACTCCCTGGGTGGGTGGCTCTTCAGTTCCCCACTCTGTGACCTCCAAGAGTGCGTGGTCTGGTATCTCTGGACTCTGTGATTCTAATGGCCTATGACCCTAGCAGCGTTTCTGGAGGTTGCTGGGAGCAGGGGGCCGGGTAGAGTTGGTGGCCTGAACATAATTCTGCCCTGGCTGCCATCAGAGCTCCGGAATTAAGGGAAACCGCCCAGACTGTCCAAGAGATTTGACTGTAGGCTTCAGCACTTACACTCCTCAGGGCTCTGCGACCCATAGTAGACAGGCCAGGAACCCCCAGGTCAGCTTCCTCCCTCCTTCTGAGCAAGAACCCTGTTCCCCACTGCTTCTGGTGTCCCTGCCCCTACCCCCAACCACTAGCCCCTTTGGCCAGGGGAGGGCTCCAGGTGCCAGTGCCCAACTGGCCCGCAGGACACGAGTCGGGCCACACAGGAAGCAGGAGACGGGGTCCTCCAAGAGCCAAGGGTAGTGAAGGAGATGACATGGGACACAGCCACCAGGATATCCCTGGCTGAGACTGAACCTCCCTCTGAGGGCACGGCTGCTATTCTGGGGCCAGGAGCTCAGCTATATTTAGTCCCAAGCGTGGTGAGGAGCTGCGGGTCAGGGGCAGCAGGAGGAGTCCGTGCTTTTCATTCTTTCCCTACTGGGCTCTGGGGACTGTCACAACACCTGTCACAAGACAGATAAGACACAGATGAGACAGAAGTCAGAGAAGAGCTTGGGGTACAAGAGGCCATTGAGGGGTGAAGGCCGACCTGGGGAGAGGCCCACTTTGTGGAAGGCTACAGACATAAGGAGCGGGGAAGAGGAGCCAGGAGCCAGCTCATGGCTTCAGGGACAGGTCTCAGCGTGAGGTCCTACACCTCATATTTAATCATAAAAGTTTGGGCTAAAAGACCCTTAAGATCCACCCAGTTCATGCGCTGGGGATGTGGCTCAATGGTAGAGCTCGTGCCTTGCATGCACAAAGCCCTGAGTTTGATCCCCAGGAGCACATATATTAAATAATAATAATAATAATAATAATAATAATTAATAAATAAATGTTTTTTTAAAAAAAAGATCCACCCAGTTCAGACCTTCTAAGTCCTAGGTACAGCACAGAAAACCTGGACCTGGCATTGAGAATCTGGCTCTGCCTAACCATGGGATATTTGGTGAGCAGTTTCCCTCCCTGATCCTTGATTGCTTCCTCTATCACACAGGCTACTGACCCCTGCCATATCTCTCTGGGCTTGGGAAAGTCTGGAGTGAGCTGAGGGCAGGAATATAAAGGTTTGGTGGGTTTCTGGCCAAACTACCAAATGCTCCCTCTGGTTCTCTGGAGAGGATTTTTTTTTGTTTTGTTTTGTTTTGGTTTTTTTTTTTGGTTTTTCTCCGGTACCGGGAACCGAACTCACGACCTTGCGCTTGCCAGGCAGGCGCTTTTGCCGCTGAGCTAAATCCCCAGCCCCATCTGGAGAGGATTTTACCTCCATGCAAAATCAACACTCAGTAGTTTAGGGACTAAGAACCCCTCAACCAGGATTTCCACAGGCCCCTCACCTGGGGGTTTGATTTTTTTTTGGGGGTGGGGTACCGGGAGTTGAACTCAGGACCTTGTACTTGCCAGGCAGGCATTGTGCCACTGAGCTACCTCCCCAGTCCTGGGGATCTGATTTTCACCAGGGAAAAGTGATTTTGGCAAAGAAAGGCAAGGACAAAACATGTACGGTTTTCCCACTGGACATTGGGCATCCCTTGTGGGGCTGAAGGAAAGAGTCTCAAAGTCAGTGGTGTCCACCCCTGCTCCCTAGCAACCAAGGTAAAGCTGGGAAGTAGGAACTCATCTTGATGGGTGGGTGCACATATCCCAAGTTTAAGACCTGTCATCCACCAGCAATGCAGGTGGCAAAGTGAGCCCCAAGCTAAGCTGACATAGAGAAGGGGGTTCTCTAAATAAATATCATCCAAAGCTCATCAACCCCTGGGCTTTGCTCCCTGCCATTTGTCCCAGCAACTGGCTCCGCCCCACCAGAGGACCTCAATGCCATCTTCATCTCTGCCCCTTTCCCTCAGAAGGATGGCCGAAACCCAGACGCAGGTGGCCCCCACACCAATCATCCCAATGGCAACTACAGAGGACCTGTCCCTCCCTCCACCTTCATCCTTGGAGAATCTGCCACCACCGCCACCCAAAGAATCCTTCTCCAAGTTCCACCAGCAGCGGCAAGCTAGCGAGCTCCGCCGCCTCTACAGGCACATCCACCCAGAGCTCCGCAAGAACCTGGCTGAGGCTGTGGCCGAGGACCTGGCTGAGGTCCTGGGTTCCGAGGAGCCCACAGAGGGTGATGTCCAGTGCATGCGCTGGATCTTTGAGAACTGGCAGCTGGATGCCATTGGTGACCGTGAGCAGCCAGCTGCCAAAAAGCCTGTCCTAGGCGGCGATGTCCAGGCCACCTCCCGCAAGTTTGAGGAAGGCTCCTTTGCCAACAGCGTAGACCCCCAGCCAACAGGACCCCGGCCAGCTGGAGGTGATGTTCGTGCTGCCCGCTGGCTGTTTGAGACAAAGCCACTGGATGAGCTGACAGGACAAACAGAAGCAACTGAGGCTCCAACAAGGGAGCCTGCAGCCAGTGGAGATGTGCAAGGAACCAGGTTGCTCTTTGAGACTAGGCCACTGGACCGCCTGGGCTCCCGCCCCTCCATGCAGGAGCAGAGCCCCCTGGAACTGCGCTCAGAGATCCAGGAGCTGAAAGGCGATGTGAAGAAGACAGTGAAGCTGTTCCAAACTGAGCCCCTGTGTGCCATCCAGGATGCAGAGGGCGCCATCCACGAGGTCAAGGCCGCCTGCCGGGAAGAGATCCAAAGCAACGCGGTGAGGTCAGGGCGCTGGCTCTTTGAGACCCGCCCTCTGGATGCATTCAACCAGGACCCCAGTCAGGTGCGGGTGATCCGGGGGATCTCTTTGGAGGAGGGTGACCGGCCCGACGTCAGCGCCACACGTTGGATCTTTGAGACCCAGCCCCTGGATGCCATCCGCGAGATCCTGGTAGACGAGAAGGATTTCCAGCCGTCCCCAGACCTTGTCCCTCCCGGACCAGATGTTCAACAGCAGCGGCATCTGTTTGAGACCCGAGCCCTGGACACTTTGAAGGGAGAGGAGGAGGCTGTGGCTGAGGCCCCGCCCAAGGAGGAGGTGGTCCCTGGCAACGTCCGCTCCACCCTGTGGCTGTTTGAGACCAAATCTCTGGACACTCTCAGAGACCAAGTCCAAGTGGGTCACTTGCAGCGGTTGGGCCACCAGGAAGGTGAAGGGCTCACATGTGACAGCTCATCAGCTCTACCTATCTCTCAGGGTGCTCCCCAGCGGGACGGGGTGAAGGGAGACGTGAAAACCTTCAAGAACCTTTTCGAGACCCTTCCCCTGGATAGTATCCAGCAGGGTGAGGCTTCGGCCTGTGGGAGTGTGGGCACAGCAGGAACCACTGTTTGCACTGGGCAGCCCCAGGTGGCAGGCTCCCCAGTGTACGCCATGCAGGACAGCAAAGGCCAGCTCCACGCCCTGACCTCAGTCAGTAGAGAGCAGGTTGTGGGAGGTGATGTGCAAGGCTACAGGTGGATGTTTGAGACTCAGCCCCTAGACCGTCTGGGTCGAAGCCCCAGTACCATTGATGTGGTTCAGGGTATCACTCGGCAGGAAGTGGTGGCTGGAGATGTTGGCACTGCTCGATGGCTCTTTGAGACCCAGCCCCTAGAGATGATCCACCAGCGGGAGCAGCAGGAACGACGAGAAGAAGGAAAGAGTCAAGAAGGCCCCCAGCCCGAGGCACCCTTAAAGGGTGATGTGCAGACCATCCGGTGGTTGTTTGAGACATACCCGATGAGCGAGCTATCAGAGAAGCAAGGCTCAGAGGTCACAGATCCCACAGTCAGGGCCCAGGCGCAGTCCTGCACCTGGATGTTCAAGCCCCAGCCTCTGGACCCAGTGGAGGACTCCAGGGAGAAGCGCTTGCAGGTCAGCCAGGTACAGGCTGGGGAAAGACAGACTGACGGACATGTCTTTGAGACTGAGCCTCTGCAGGCCATGGCCCGGTCCTGTGGAAGAGGGCCTGTGCGATACTGCAGCCGAGTGGAGATTCCTTCAGGGCAGGTGTCTCGGCAGAAGGAGGTTTTCCAGGCGCTGGAGGCCAGCAAGAGAGAAGAACAAGAGCAGGGCTCCAGGATAACCCCTGGGCCCATCCCCGCCGGCTCTGTGCACAAGTTCACTTGGCTCTTTGAGAACTGCCCCATTGGCTCCCTGGCAACTGAAAGCATCCGAGGGGGTGACCTGCAGGACGAGCAGCCTGGGAAGCTCTCTAGCAATGGGGTGCCAGAGAAGCAGGAGACTGCAGCAGAGGGGACACTTTGGACTCTGCATGCCACACCTGGGATCCTGCACCACGGGGGCATCCTCATGGAGGCTCGAGGGCCAGGGGAGCTCTGCCTCGCCAAGTATGTGCTCCCAGGACCAGGGCAGGGGCATCCCTATGTACAGAAGGAGGAGCTGGTGTTTGGTGAGCTTCCCAGGATTGTCCGCCAAGTTCTGCGCCGGCCAGATGTGGACCAGCAGGGTCTGCTGGTGCAGGAGGACCCAACTGGCCACCTCTGGCTCCACCCACTGAAGCTGCCAGCTCCAAGCAACAATGGGAGTATTGAAGACATGGATCCCAAGCTCCAGCAGCTGCTGGCTTGCGGCCTTGGGACCTCCATGGCAAGGACTGGGCTGGTGATGCAGGAGACAGAACAGGGTCTAGTCGCCCTGACTGCCTACTCCCTACGGCCCTGGCTACCCAGCAGGGTCCCAGAAAGGGGCAGTGTGCAGCTGGTGGCCAGCTGCATAGACAAAGGAGACCTGAGTGGCCTGCACAGTCTGCGCTGGGAGCCACCGACTGACCCAAGTCCAGGGCCAGCCACTGAGGGGACCCAGAAGCTTCTCCCAACTGAGAGCATCATCCATGTTCCCCCACTGGATCCCAGCTTGGGAGCAGGGCACCTGAGAGGCCCAGGAGCCACCTCCTGCCCACCTCAGGCCATGGCAAAGGCAATCCCTCTGGCTGGGCAGGCTGCAGCCCCAGCCCCTTTGCAGGATACCAAAAAGCAAGAGAACAGCAGTCACACTGGGCAGAAAGGGTCAGCAGCCTTGGGAAAGTCAGAAGGAGCCATGGCTGCCCCAGACTTCCAGGCAGCCTTGCAAAGTCTGCGAATGGCAACTGCTGAAGCCCAAAGCCTGCACCAGCAAGTTCTGAACAAGCACAAGCAGGGCTCCGCCCCTGCAGCCACAGCTATGTCCATCCAGGATGGCATGCAAGCACCAGCTCCTGCCATGGCAGCTACCCAGAGCAACAGCAGGCCTATGGCTGAAGGTGACTCCAGGATCCCAGCAGCCCCCAGAAAGGTCAGTGGGGAAGAGAAGGCACTACCCAGAGGGCTGCTCAGGGGGCGGGTGACAATTCAGGATGGCATCTACACTGCTCACCCTGTGAGGACCTCTGAACCTCCCAAGTGTGTCCAGCCTTCTGGGAAGGACCCCCAGCCAAGGGGCAGGGAGACTGCTCACTCAGCCCAGGCTCCCAGCCCACTCCTGGGCGGCCCAGCTAAGAGTCCTGCACCACAGCAGGAGGAGCCTGGGGGCTGCACACAGAGGGCTTGGGGGCCTCAGGGGAAAATGATGGCCCAAGACTGCCCAGGGGACCTCCAAGCTGCAGAGACTACCCTGAAGACCACCCCTTTGGCCTACTACACACTGCCCTCTGGGGCCCAAGCTGCAGGTGCCAACCTGCATTCCCATAATGCCTCTGTTCCTCCCCTTCCTGCTCTCCCAGCTGCTGTGACAGGACCTGACCTCCCAGCCCAAGGCCACCATGATGAGGACTCCATCCAAAAGGCCTCCAAGCCCAGACAGGAACCTTTTCTTCATACCCTTCACAGCAACCCTGCTGGCCAGAGAAATCCTGGGGGATCACAGACAGAGACCCCAAAACCAGAGCCCACTACGCCTCCAAGGAAGAAGCCTCCAGTGCCCCCCAAACCCGCAAACCTAAGTCAGCTCCACCCTCCTCAGAGGCCACCCAAGCCCTCAGTCCTGTCTCCCGGCTTCTCCTCAGAAGTGGGACAAGGAGAACACAAACCAGGTGAGATACCAGCAGCCAGCCCTTGGCCAGCCGAGACTCCCACTGCAGGAGGCCAGGGCTGTGTGCCTCTCGCTGGATGGGCCAGTGGACAGAGCCAGCCCAGACCCCAAAATGACCTCTGCACGGTGGCCCCCAAGCCCGCCCAGGCTCAGGCTGCTGGCAGTAATGCCCAGAGCCCTGAGCCCACCAAGCTCAGCACTCCGAACAGCAACTCCACCTTACCACAGTGGGGCCTCAGCTCACAGGGAGAGCAGCCCATGCAATGTTCCAAGCAGGGGGTCCCCAAGAGCCCCCAGATTCTTCAGGGAAGCCAGCAAGAGCTCCAGGGCCTTCTGAGCCAGGTACAAGCCCTGGAGAATGAGGCTGCAGGCAGTGTGGATGTGCGAGCACTGCAGAGGCTCTTTGAGGCTGTGCCCCAGGTAGGAAGGGCTGCCCCTCTGTCTCCTGCTGCCCCCCGCAGGCCTGAGGCCTCAGTGGAGCAGGTTTTTGGGGAGCTGACACGGGTCAGTACAGAGGTTTCCCAGCTGAAGGAACAGACCCTGGCCAGGCTCCTTGACATTGAAGAGGCTGTGCACAAAGCCCTCACCTCCATGTCTGGCCTCCAGCCCGAGGCTAACATCAGGAGCCATTCCCAGGAACACCAACAGGTTCACAGCGCCCACAAGGTCACTGTCTCGACCCGCGGTAGAGCCAGACCCAGTTGCTCTGGCCAGGAGATCAAAGATCCAACAGCTGTCAAGTGCCCAGCCAAGGCTGGATGCCATACTGAAGACCAGGTTCAAGACAAGATCAGAAATGACACAGAGGTCAGAGGTCAGGCAGCCTCAACTACCCCTCCCACCAGGAGGCAGGAGACATCAAGGGGAGACTCAGGTCTCCCTCAAGTCCTGCTTTCCAGTAGAGAGTCACCCTCTTCCCCAACTTTCATCTCTATCCAGTCGGGCACAAGGAAACTTCCAGAAGCTTCCAGCACTAAGGACAGCCCTGAAGTCTCAGTGAACAGCACACACCTAGCTCAGAATGTCAGCCAGGCCCTGCCCCACCAGGAAAGTGTTCAGAACAAAGCTGGGAAAAAGGAGGTGGCCACCAAGGGCGCTGGGCAGCCCAAGCCTGCCCTTGCCTCAGCCGAGCTTCTGCCCACAGGGTGGCAAGAAAACACCCCAGAGCTGCAGACCAGGCTGCGTGGTTCCCAGTGCTGTGGAGTTGTGAGAACTGTGACTGAACAGTACGAGGAGGTGGACCAGTTTGGGAACACAGTCCTCAGTTCCTGCACCACAGTCAGAGAGCAGGCAGAGCCACCCAAGGGCCCAGGTCCCAACCTTGAGTTCCACACCACCTCTTTACTGAGGCCATTCCTCCACAGGCCTGGCGGGCTCAGCAGCGGCCTAGCAGAAGCTGAGGCAGCATGGGTGCCCTGCAGCCACTTCCAGCCAGCTGCCCAGTGAGTCCTCATGGGGGTGCCTGCCTCAGGGCCCCCAGACCCTGGGTGCTTCCCTCCTTGCACGTCAAGGAAAGGACCAAGAAGAAAGGGCATCTTCTGAGGACTGCTGAGGGCTCTTTCTGCACAGTTCTTGCAAAAGGGGTGAGAAAGACCAAGAAGCAGCACACTGAGTAGTGCTGGCCTGGTACAGAGGGGATTCCTGGTTGCTTGTAGAACATATGGTATATACAGACACACAGGCCTGGCCCACGCCGACCCATGCCTGCACACGTGTGAACCCACAGAGCTGCCTCCCTCCAGCCTCTGCCTATATTTCTTGTATAATAGAGCCTGAATGCTGTCAGCCATCCTCTCTGTCAGCCCTAGAGAAGGGCAGAGCCACTGGCCACAGCATTGGTCTGTTCAGCATGGGTCTGTTCCGGATCGGTCTGTGTCCCACCACATTTCACCCAAAACAGGGTCGTTGAATAAACCCGAGTTTGAATCTCTACTCTGAGTGTCTGACTGTGTGCACATCTGTTCCAGGGTCTGTGTTCACACTGTGGAAAAAACAGCCACAGCCTCCAGATGCCCAGTTTTCCTAGCAACAGCAGGATTATGAGGCTCTGAAAAGCCACCCCTCTCCGCCAGAAGGCTCCGGAACTCCTCAGTTCTCCACACACACACACTGCTGCCCCTTCTACTTCTGGCCTTCCCTCCTGGATCTTCTTGGACATCATGGTGGTCTTACGATCCTGTCCCAAAGCAGGAGAGCAGCCCCATGCGGCCCAGCAAGATGGGAGGAGCTCACACCAGGACAGTCAGCATGCCCTGCATGGCTGGGCCACTGTGTGCTACACAGGGGCTCCTGGGAAGGAAGTGCTCAGGTTCTGAAAACAGGGATGATTTAGTGCACAGTTTCTCTCTCTCCCTCCCGTCCTCTCTCCTCTGTCTTCGCTTTCTCTCTTTTTTCAGTACTAGGGGCTATAGCCAGGGTCTTCTCCCAGCCCTTTTTTTGACACAGGGTCTCATTAAATTGCCAAGGTTGGGTTTTTGTTTTTTTTTTCCCAAGGTTGGGTTTAAACTTGTGATTCTCATGCCTCAGCCTCCCAGAGTTCTGGGATTATAGGTGTGCAACACCACAACAGGCTCTCACTTTTTTTTTTTTACCTCCCAAAACAGGTCTCACTATGTAATCCAGGCTGGCCTGAAACACTGTGTAGCCAAGGCTGGCCTCAAACTCATCTGCCTGCCTTAGTCTTCAGGAGGGCTGGAATTACAGGCATGCAGTACCACGCCCAGCTTCAGTCTGTCTTTCTAAAAGCACTGAGTACCTTCTGAAAGCCAGGCCTGCTCCATAGAGCCAAGGGTCCTGCTCTCAGGAAACTCAAAGACCAGAAAAATCAGATCAGAAGTAGAGTGATGAACCTGACTGGGCTGCCTTCCACTCTGGGAAGGAGTCCTAACATGCAGTGATGGGACAGTGGCAAGGATTTCCTTGGACAGGGCGCCACAGCAGAACCCTCATGAGGACAAAGTATTTCCTCAAGTGAAATCTGAATACAAGCATCTGGGGAGTGGAAGTTGGGGGCAGATGCTGGACAGAGAGAATAGAACTTATTCAGACCCAGAGACGGAGTAAGTTTAGCTCCTGGGTCTCCTGGAGACTCTTCCAGAGAAAGGGGCGTTAGTAGGCCAGGTTCCCCTCACAAGTTTCCTTGGGAATTTGCACACACTTTGCTCCATCTGAACAGGTAGGCAGGCTCCCACCCTACCACCCCACCCAGGACCTCGCCGGCACACCCGATCCACACCGGCCCCTCAGTGCCTGTTCAGCTGATAGGAGTGGGTTCCCCAGCAGCGCCACATCTGCTGCCCCTCTGGCTAACTGTGGTGGACAGGAAGCAATGCAGATGGCAAACCTGCCTGGTGGTATCCCATGGTGCTGAGCCCCTGACCCCAAGTCTCCCTAGCCTGTCTTCACGGAATCTCAGTTCCTTGCCGGGCCCAGCAGCTTAAAGCACCTTGTTCTCCTCAGTGTTCTTTTTTGTCAAATGGGCACAATTATAGCACCTATATATATTTGTGTGTGTGTGTTTCGTTTTTTTTTCCGGTACTGGGAATCGAACTCACGAACTTGCACTTGCCAAGCAGGCGCTGTGCCGCTGAGCTAAGTCCCCAACCCTATAGCACCTATAACTGTGTTGATTAAGTGAATTATTAAATATTTAAAATCTAGCCTCTGGAGTTCAAAGTCATTCGCTTTCAGTAGTGTCCTAAATCGTTTTTTGTTTTGTTTTTGGTACCGGGAATCGAACTCAGGACCTTGCGTTTGCCAGGTAGGCGCTTATGCCACTGAACTATATTCCCGGCCTTTAAATCGTTTTTAATGTATCTCCGTTCTCACCTGCAGAGGGGGTGCCTGACTAGCTCATCTTGGTATCCCTAGTGCTTATCAGGGGCGCCTTCACATACATCAAAAAATGAATGCCTACGTGAGAGAAATCAATGAGTGCATCTGTCGACTCATCCCACTGACGCTTATCAGCACTTTGTGCCAGGCTCCCTTCAGGGTGCTAAAAATAGAGATGAGCAAGGCAGAATTCATCCTTGACCTCATGGAACTTAGATTTAAAAAGCGAAGACAACACATCAGCAGATTAGATAAGTTTGCAGGAGAGAAATACTGTGAATACAAAACGTCGGCCCACGAAGGGAGGGTTGGCAGTTACTCCAGCTTGAGCGGTCTTGGACTGCGGCTTTGCGGAGGTGACTTGAGGGGCCCGAGAGCCAGGCCTACTGGCTGAAGGTGGTGGCTCGGCAGGAAGAGAGCGGAGAGGCAGGTGTGTGGGCGTGGTGCTCACGGAGCACAGGAGGAGGGCAGCGGCTGCCGCGCAGCCTCGCCCAGGCTCCCGCACACCTGTCGCCGCACCTGCGGCCCAGACCGAGGCCCCACCCACTCCCACGCCCGGATGGGGCGGGGCTGAACGTGCCGGCAGGAGGCGGAGCGCGCAGCGCCCAGGCCCGCCCCCGGCGCCCGCGGGGCTTGTTCCCTCCGGCCGTCGCCAAGGTGACGGTGACGTCGTGGGGCCGCCGGGTTCGGAACGTTCCGCAGGCGGCGGTGGTTGCCGGGAAACACTGGGTAGGCGCGCTGCCAGGGACTGGTTCCGGGCTCAGCCGGGACGCGCCGTCCTGGTCGCCCTGGCCCGGAGCCTCCCTCCCGGTCCCAGGCGGATGCCGACCGCTCGTCTCCTCGCGCTCTTCTCGGCTCCGCCTGGGACCGACCTCCTGGGCAGGCCCTACTCCTGCCTTGGTATACAGTCAGTGCCTCTGCTTCTGGAACCATTGCATCGGTCCCGATCCTCTCTGCCATCACCCTGCTTCGGGCCACCATCCATCTCCCCCTTCCTGGGGGACGAGGCTCTGTCTTAGCCTCGCAGGTGGTCCTCTCCCCTTTGCCCTGTCTGTCCCTATAATGGGTCCTCCACCAGGCAGCCAGAACTCTAGTCCAGAGTGCACAGATCAAGCCCCTCCAGCACAACATTCCCCGGGCTTCCGGTTCACTCAGCCTGAAACTAAACTCCCAGTGGCTCAGCTGTCAGCACTTCCTGCCCAACTCACGCGCTCACTCCTCACCTGCCTCCCCGTAATCACGCAGGCGTTCTTGCTCGCCGAACCTACTTCCTGAAGGTCTCTAGTACTGAGCTCCTTCTCAGATCTCAGTTCAGACGGCTCCCTGGAAAGGCCTTCCCTGATCCATCCTCCCCTTCCTCCTATCTAAAGAGGCCTTTCTGCAGGTTTTCGTGAGGTTTCAATCTTGCTCACTTATTTGTTTGGGTTGTAGATATTATCTCTGCCTAGCAAACCATGCCAGGCTCGGTTGGTTTAAAGAACAACACGGGATGCTACTGTGGGCCAGGAATTGGACAGGACATAGCAGACGTCACTAAGGGACCTCAGCTGGGATATATGCACGTGGCCTCTCTGTGTGGCCTGGGCCTCCTTGCTGCAAGGCCATCTCAGCGCACCTGGACTTCCTGTATTTTAGCCTGGGGCTCCAAAGAGGTGTTTCACCTCACAAGGCAGAAGATGTGTGCCTTTTGTGACTTGGCCTCAGAAGCCAAGAATCATATCGGTTCATTCTGTTGGTTACACAATGAATGCAGGCCTGTCCAGACTGAAACAAAAGGGCATTAGATATCACCTTCCGAAGAAAATGAGGGAAGAAGAACATGCAGCTGTCTTTGGAAAGGGCCATCTGCAGACAGACCTCCCCTATTAATTTTTGGTGGGTTTTTGAGACAGTCTGGATAGGTAGCCCAGGCTACCACCTGCCTCAGCCTCACCATTGGGGTGGGGGACAGGCATGCACCACCACACCCAGCTCAATTCACATTTTAGAGTGAATACTGTAATTAAAGGTTTGTCTTTCAAGGAGTCCTTTGAATGGAGCTGTTGTCCCAGTAAGTGTGTTTCCTGCCCCACCCTTGACTTTGGGCTAACCTTTGTTGGAGAAAGCCCAGCTTGTATTGCAAAGTGGGAGTAAAGCATAGCTTGTTTGGTAGTGATAGGGTACAGCTATTTAGGGACTGAAAAATGTGAGACCAAATGAGATGTGAGGACAGTTTTCCACCGAAGGGGATGTTCAGGACTCAGCCTGGTTTTTCCCATTCTGAACTCTGGAAGGACCCACCATGCGTAGTTTTGTCCTCCAGGCCCTGGGAGCAGGAAAGTGGCCCAATGGGAATGGAGCTTTGGAGGGGTACAGAATGCCTGTTAGGGACAATTGCAAAGACCTGGACCAGAGGTGGCCCTGAAGCTGTCCACATGCCTATTAAATTACTCCAATTCGGGGCTGGGGATTTAGCTCAGTGGCACAGCACCTGCCTGGCAAGCGCGAGGTCGTGAGTTCGATTCCCAGTATGGGAGGGGGAAAAAAAAAAAACAATAAATTACTCCAGTTCTTCCTGCTTTGTTATTCATGAAGGACATTCCATTTGTGGTCGCCAGTGCCCTGCAGCACACACAGTTTCTTCTCTCCTCATCCCCATTCCTGGAGGGGTAAACAGCGATAAAGGCATCTGCCAAGCAATCACTCAGGCGTGGTGGCACACACCTGCAATCCCAGCACTCAGGAGGCTG